AACTAAGGGAGTCATTTTAGGGTTTACAGGAGACTTGATTATAAATGGGATCCCAGGTCCAAGGAGAGATCCCCAGATTGTTCTCTGGACAGAGGAGAGGGTGCCTGAACTGGCCTTGGCCCATAACCATACTGATGAATATTTTGCTTATCACCATAGATCCTTCATCTGGCGATGGATGGAGATGGAGACGGAGACCCACATTGGAACACTGGACTTAACTCCCTAGGTCCAAACGAGAAGCAGAAGGAAAGAGAACGTGAGCAAGATCAGAGGGAACCTTCATCCGACGATGGATGGCGATACAGACGGAGACCCACATTGGAGCACCGGACGGAGTCCCCCAAGGTTCAAATGAGGAGCAGAAGGAGGAAGAACATGAAAAAGGAAATCAGGACCGTGAGGGGTTCGATCACCCACTGATACAAGGGGACTGATCTAATGAGAGTTCACCAAGGCCAGTTGACTGGGACTGAGCGAGCACGTGATCCAGCCAGATTCTCTGAATGAGGCTGGCCTGGAGTCTTTCTGAAAAGCCATTGACAATGACAATGGGACTTGTTTCCTCTGCATATACTGGATTTCTGGGATCCAGTCTGTTTGGATGCTCACCTTCCTGGACCTGGAGGGAGGGGGGAGGAGCTTGAACTACCCACAGGGCGGGAGACCCTGACTGCTCTTGGGGATGGAGTGGGAGGAGGAGAGGGAGTGGGGGGGAGTGGGAGGGGGTTGGGAGGAGGGGCGGAAATGGAGACTTTTGTATTTTAATAAATTTTGAGAAAAAAATAAAATAAAATAAAATAAAATAAAAAAGAATTATCCAGAACAAATACAGAAATTTCACATCATTACAAAAGCATGCCTCATTTACCAGTGGTGACAGTTAACGTAAACCGGCCCAGTTCCCCACTGACGTATCTAGCAAATGATGATATAACATCAGTGGTGTGATAGCTGCAAGAAAATCACTTTAGGGTAAAGACACACAGAATGAAAGTGAAGGCTGAAACTGATGTAACAAGAAAAGAAAAACCAAAGGCTGTAGCTACACTCGTGCCAGTAAAGTGGATTAAAATTCAAACACTGCCAAAGGGGACAGAGAAGGTCAGTATGGAACAAGAATGCAGTTGACCCAACAAAAAGACGTAGCAATTGCAAACGTATACACTCCCAAAACTGAAGCACCCAATTACAGAAGGCAAATATTCCGAGGTCTAAGCACAGAGCTAGATTCCAAAACTACCTGGGTGCTTCACTACCCCCACCTTCAACAGTGAACAAATCATTTGGGCCAAAAAAAAAAAATCAACAGGGCTGCTGAGATTGATGACTCATCACAAGAAAGTACTCGATGTCCAAGACCTGCAACCTGAGTGTGACACCTAGAACCCACAGTGGGAAGAACCAGCTCCTGAAAGTTCTGCTCTGGCCTCTACACACATCTGTGCTACCCTCGCTCACACACACATCGCATACACAAACATAAACATCATAATAATAAACAAAATTTTAAATCTTTTTAAAACCAACAGACAAGGAGTTAAACAATATGATACACCAAGTGGATTCAACATTTACAAAACATTCCCAATGAAAAGAGAGGAATAAGCTCCGGCATTCAACTGTTGCTAGTTCATTCCGTTTATTATATATTTTATAAAGGATTAGAAGAGAAGAATTCAAGGTGGACCCTTCTGAGTCAGGTCCTCAGAAGAAGAGACACTGTAGCATCGTCTGTGGCTGTGATAAAATGCGGAGAAAAGGCTTTCTCTGGTTTACACTTTGAGATCACAGTCCATCACAGAAGTTGAGGCAGAAACTCAAGCAAGAACTTGAAAGAGAAACCATGAAGGGATGCTGCCTGCTGGCTTCTCTCTGACTCATGCTCAGCTGACTTTCTTATACAGCCTGGGACCACCTGGGACCACCTGTCCAGGGAGTGGTGTGGGCCACAGTGAGCTGAGCCCTGCGACATCCATTAACAATCAAGACAATCACCCGTAGGCACACCCACACCCCAGTCTAATCTCTGGGCAATCCCTCAACTGAGACTCCCTGGTCAGGTGACTTGACAGTTAAAAATTAACCAGGACAAAGGACAACAGGGAGGTTGACGGTGTGTTTTGGCAAAGGCACACTTGGCTATAGGCAACACAAAGAAATGAGTGCTTAAATCAGCCTGGTCTACAAGAGCTAGTTCCAGGACAGGCTCCAAAGCCACAGAGAAACCCTGTCTCAAACAAAAAAAAAAAAAGAGTGTTTAAAGAGAAAGATATGCTAATTACACAATGCATACATGTATCAAATCAACACACTACACCCTGAAAATAGGCAGGTGTCCTGCTAGCTTCCTTTAAAGTCACTTCAAAGCAGCAAGCGGATAATAGTCACAAAAAATTCACACGTGAAATTTTTCCTTTCAAAAGTAAAGAGATGTGTGTTTCAGATCAACGCCAATGCCTCTAACAAAAGGGGTCTGGAGTCTCCCTGCCCTTCGCTGACCAGCAGCCGTTGCCCTCACTCTTTCCCTCAGGCCCCCTCCCCAGCCGACACCGTGTGTCAGTGGGCACGGGCCGGAGCTGAGAGGGCTCTTACAGGACACGTTGTACTTCTGGAGGCAGTAAGCCAGCTCCAGCGGCAGCACTGCCTTCTGCCGGCTGTCCTGCATCTTCTCCAGCAACAAAAGCAACTGGAAGGGGACGCTTCTCTTCCGCTCCTCTGTTCCCCGCGGCACCGTTATCCTGTCAAATAGAAACAGCCAGGCGGTTCATACCCACCCTTCTCCAGGCCGGGAGCACACTGAAATCATTTAGAGAACTGCAAAGACTTTCCGTGTCCTTGCTATTCTCAGAATTAAGGTAGAATTACGGACTGGGTAGATTCATGCATGTACTCAAGTGATTTAGTATTAGGAGGGAGATCAACACAGTCCCACCCGACCCTGCTCAACCACCACATTAAGGAAGGAAGCTGCACCACACTCTGGGCCCACACTAGAGTGAGCAGGCAAATGTCCAGCCTGAGGTACTTCATACTGCAAAGGCAAATACTGAGTTAGGTCCTGGGAAGAAAGAACAATATGGCAGATGGCAGGGTTTTGACAATGGTTCATTTAGCTACCGGCATTTCTCACTTGCTTTGTGGATAAGCAAAACAAAAAAGCATGGGGCCAAATAAGTCACTAACTAAATGTGTGCATCCATTCACCGACTTTCTCTGATGCTGGTACACTCCCAGCGCCAGATCAGTGGCCGTCATCCTTGCTTGCACTTCAAAAGTGTCTGAGGAGTCTTTTAAAAAGCACTAGTGGGAACGGGAGAAATGGCTCAGCAGTTAAGAGCACTGACTACTCATCCAGAGGACCCGAGTTCAATTCCCAGCATCTACATGGTGGCTCATAACTATCTGTAACTCCAGTTCCGTGGGCTCAACTCCCTCCTCTGGCCTCCATAGGCAAAACAATAAAATAATAATAATAATAATAATAATATTAATAATATTTAAAAGCACTAATGATGCTGAAACTACATGGAAGCAGGGACGAGCATTGTCTATTTTTAAACTTTGTAAATGATGCTAACCTGCTAGACAAAATATGCAAGAAAAGGTCTTTTCTCAGGCATCTCTGGAAAGGAGACTTGAAGGAGTCAAAGTCATAGTAAACAAATGGAAATTCTAAAACACCACCATTATGCACGTTATCAGGCAGAATCAGAGCTGTACCTCTTCAATATCTTCCTGAAGTCCACATTCAGCATCAGCACCTGAACCAAGGAGTTCAGGCAACAGGTCTGTCCGATGTTGTGTAAACCAACCAGACCTTTAAGACGAAGAGGGGGAGAAAGAAGGCTGAAGGCAAGACATAACACTCACCAAAACTCAAACGCTTTTCTTGGCTCTACAGAGGACATGGTATCCAGAGAAACACTCTCACAGACACGGATTTCGCCGGGGAGCTAACAAGCATCAGGCTTTGAAAACTTAAACGACAGAACAAGCCGGAGTAACTCACTAGATAAGAGCGCCATCGCACATTGACAATGATCAGCATAGTGGGGGGTAGGGGGAGAAAGCGTAGCAACCCTGAGAAGATATCTGGGGAGCTGCTCACTTCCCTCACTCCGTGTTTCTACCCCGGTAAATTAGCATGGGCAGCAGCGGGACTCGGGGAGAATCAGCGTCCATCTCGTTCACACTGGGCTCAGTCCTCTCCACAGAAATTGAGGGCACCAAAGGCAGCATTTGGGAGACCCGCCAGCCCTAAGCTTAAAGTTTGTTGGCTCAAGAGGCAACAAACAATGTTCAAGAAGAATGTGGGAGAATCAAAACTAGTAATTCTAGACATGCCAGCAACCAGCCTCCCTTCCCACCCCAGCCACAGGCTCAGCTGACCCCAGAAGGTGAGAGGCTGAAGAACAAGAGAGTAGCCCGAATCTCAGAGTCCTGGACAAAGAGCTTCAGACACAGGAAAAGGCAAAGAAATGAAAAATCCAGGGGCAATGGGTTTTGGCTGCCAAATCAACAGAGCCCCTTCTTTAGCAGATAGAAGCCACTAACATGAAAGCAATGCGGAGCATGCCACATTCACAACAGAGTGGGAACGAAGCACTTCCATACGCTGGGAAGCAGGAGTGGAGGCTCTACTGACCGTGAGGGCGGTTCCAGGCACTGCAGTGTTCTCTAGACAGCCCTTTCTTCCTCGTCATGTCCTCGTCCTCCAGTTCTGAGGAGTACTGAAGGTCAGCCACGACTGACGGGCAGGTTTCCCTCAGAAACCCAGACCCCTTGCCCATTAGTGATCCACGCCCAAACCCCGAGGCTGGGACTGCCTGACTGAGGCTCAGGATTCCCCAACTTCACTTCCAGGAAGAGTCCACTCAAGCCAGGCACACAGGAACCTCTGTGGGAACACACAGCAACAGATAACACTGAGATGGGGGACACATGCATGCCATTGACGCTGACTGCTAGAGGGAGACTGGTTTAGCTCTAAAATGGGAATTAATGACAAGCTGGACATCCCCAACCCTTCTTTACCTTTTATCCTTCTTCAGTATGAACTTAATGCTGGCCTCTTCCTCCTCCTGGGTTCTTTGTCTTAGTAAATGGTCTGGACCAAAAACCGAAGATCTCCTTGCCCCGACTCTCAATCCTTAAAAGTTGGAAAAGGTGTCAATTCCACTGGCCAAAGACTGCTCACAAGCAGACCCCTCCCTCTCCACAGCCTCGAGCCCCTGGGACACGCCTGCAGATGTCTAAGGTCTTCTCTCTAGGGAGCTTGTCCTAGGTCCTCAGGAGGGCTTAATGGTCATTCGTTTTCAGCACTTTGTGCACAAATTTACTCAAATTCTGATGTAAGGACTAAGGGTCTCTGTGTGGAAATGGTGACCCACAGCTCAGGTTCCCCGTGCAGCAGACAATCCTTCCCAAACTCAGAGGACAACTGAGTCCCTTTCACCCAAACCAGAGATTCATAGGCACGAGATCATCGTACAGATGAGGAAATGTCCTATGATCCGCCAACACTTGCTCTTACTTCCTCCTGACAGCGCAGGCCTCAGCCACCTGTAAACCGCCCCCCACCAAAATTCTTTGGGATCCCTGGAGGTCCCACATGTATTTCAGAAGAAAAGTCATAACTTCTGAGCCAGGTCTCACCTGCCCCTCTCCAGCGAGCTTGGGCAAATGCCAGCCACTGCCAGCCACGGCAGCCAGCTGGAAAGAGCGCGCTGGCATCTTCAGCTAGGGATGATGTGGAAGTGGAAAACACCCAGCCATCCTCAGCGGCCATGTGCCCTTTGATTCTCCCAGTTCCCTCTGAAAGGGCTTCAACTTCTGCGTGCAGCTTCCTTCCAGCCCTCAGCCTGCCCACAGACCTAAGCTGAAGCACCGTGTCCTCTGTGTCTCCTTCTCTCTCTAGCCAGAGTGGACAAGCAACACAAGAGTTCCTCTGGGTTTCTCTTTCTCCATGGGCAAGTAAGTCAAGAGGCCTGAGAGCCCGTTGGCTATGAAACACTAAACCAGCTGGATTCGGCGATTCTTTTCGAGACAGAGGCTGGTGTTGGGAGGTTTCCTCGCTTGCCCTCCATCTTATTCATTGAGGCAGGGTCTCTCAGGTGAATACAGACTAGACAGCTCACTCCAGGATTCCCTGTCCCCACCTCTTGAGCGCTTCGAATTGCAAGGAAACGGCCAGGCCCACCTGGCACCTACACAGGTGCAGGGAGCCCAACCCCTGTCCTCACCCAGCCAGCGTTTTACCTAATGAGTTATCTCCCCAGTCTAAAGGTAAGGTTTTCTTTAACTACACGCCTGTGTTCCCATCTGTGTGTGGATCTGTGCTCATGCCCCTGGAGACCAGAAGAGGGTGCCGGATCCCTTAGAGCTACAGGCTGTTGCCCAGTTTGGTTGGCAGCAAAACTTGTGACGTCTGCAAGAGCAGTGTGCACTCTTAACCACTGAGCCATCTCTCCGGCACCAAAAGGTGCCATTTTTAATACATGTGGATGGCTACATGTCTTGTATCAGTTTATAGTCTGTTCAATGGAGAGAACCAGTCAGAACTCAGTGGCTAAACGAGAGGCCTTGTAACAGAGTTTGTCAAAGATAAGAGGGCAGAAGGGTGTGGGTGCTAAGGCTGTTAAGCCAGGCATGGTGCTAAACACCAGTAATTCCAGCACTCATGAGGCTCAGGATAGGGAATTACAAGTTGGAGAGCAGCCTGGGCCACAGAATGAGACCCTAAGGAGAGCACAAGAATCTGAATCTTGATGCAAGAAAAGTAACACAGGTGGTGTGCAAACGTGTGGTGTCTGGAGAAAGGGGATGTGGGTAAGGTTATGCAGAGAGCTGTAAGAATATTTGCATAAGGAAATCTGCATAAGGAAATCCAAACTCAAAATAAAAGGAAATACAGTCTAGAAATTTACTAAGTGCTAAGCTAACAGTCACAGAAGCCCAAATCGAGACCATAATAAGACATCCTTGTACACTTTCCATCCGGGAGCAGTCAGCAGCTCTGACCATCTGATCATCGCATGTCACAAATGTGTTGAAGTGAAATGCGATTTCACTCATAAATATGCAGTTAGGGGAGAAGGGCTTTGGTTGTTTTGGTTTTGGTTTAGGATTTATTTGTTAGTTTATGTATAAGTGCTCTATCTGCATGTATGTCTGTATGCCTGTATGCCAAAAGAGGGCAAAAGGTTCCACTATGGACAGTTGTGAGTCACCATGTGGTTGCTGGGAATTGAACTCAGATTCTCTGGGTTAAGCCAGCGCTCTTAACCTCTGAGTCATTTCTCCAGCCTCAGTTTGATTATTTTTTGAGACAAGATGTTACTTGGAGCCAAGACTGACCTCAAACTCAATCCCCTTGCCTCAGCCACCTGAGTTCCAAAATGACTGGGAACAATGCCACCACACCCAGTAGAAATTTGTATAATTCCTGTGTGTCAATTAAAAATAAAATATATATTTAAATTTTTTATTGATCCAAGCATTGGAGGAGATATGGGTAAGTAGGATTTTTTTTTTAAACTTGGAGACAGAGTTTCTCTGTATCCCTGGCTACTCTGGAACTCCAAACTCAGAGATCTGCCTGCCTCCACCTCCAGAGTACTGGGATTAAAGGTGATTGTCACTACCGCCAGGCTGGATTGTTTTTTTTTCAAATATTAGTAATGTGTGTATGTGCGTGCGCACACACACACACACACACACACACACACACACACACACACACATGGGTACATGCCACGGCACACATTCAGAAATCAGAAGACACCTTGGCTGAGTTGGTTCTGCCTGGGGATTGAACCCAGGCCCCCAGGCTTGTGCAGCAAACACCTTTACCATGATTTTTTTTAAGATTAAAAGTTTCTTATTGTATTATTTACTTGCCTCATGTGTGTGTGTGTGTGTGTGTGTGTGTGTGTGTGTGTGTGTGTGCGTGTGTAGATGAACGTCATGGCACACAAAGGGAGGTCAGGGGACAACTTGCTGGAGTCAGCCTTCTCCTTCCAAATAGGTCCCAGGACTCAAATTCAGGACATCAGGCTTGGCCGCAGGGCTTTCAGTCACCGAGCCAGCTCACTGCCAGTCCCCAAACAGGATTCTTAATGCTACCAGGAGCGGACTATAAAACGGCCCAATCGCTTGGGGGAATAACTTGGTGTCATCTTTTAAACTCAAATTCAATATCAAAATTTCAAGAGATTCTTTTTTACCTTCTCCCCTTTCTTTACTGTTTCTTTGTTTGAGTTTGTTTTATTTTGCTGGTGACCTTTTCCTCCCTTCCTTTCTTTCTTAGCTAACTAATTTGTTTGCAGTGCTGGAGATGAATCTAGGCGCTCTCAACATGCTCGGCAAGTGATCTACACTGAGCCACAGCTACACCCCCTAAAGAAATTCTCAGTGTCCTTGGAGAAGTGTGTGACGTGATCACAGCAGTACTGTTTGTACTGTTCAAACCTTAGATACCGTGTGTTCATCAATGGACATGTCTAGCACATGTCACAACAGGCTGAATTGAGAAACAAAATATTTACTCAAGGGAGCTGGAGAGATGACTTAGTCTTAAGAGCACTTGCCACTTTTGCAGGGAACCTGGGTTTGGTTCCCAGTGCCCACATGGCAGCTCAGAACTCCAGTTCCAGGAGATGTGTTGCCCTGATCTTGCCTTTGTGGTCACTGCATGCATGTGGTGTACATATATGCATGTAGGCAAACCCTTGTATGCAATTTTAAAGTAAATAAATCTTTCAAAAAATAAAATATCTACTCAAAACAGTGACTCTCAGGCCTAAGGAGATGGCTCAGTCTGTGAAGGGCTGGCTTAGCAAGCATGAGGACCTGAGTTCGGGTCCCCAGAACTCACATAAAAAGGTCAGATGTACACATCTGTAGTCTCCAGAATAAGAGACCCTGTCTCAAAAGAGAAAGTAAATGGCTTCTGAGGAGCTACACTAAGGGTGACGTCTTGCCTTTATGCACATATCCACAAATGCAGACACACACACACACACACACACACACACACACCATCACCACCACCACCAATAAAATTTCAGAAAACATTTTATAACTTCTTACTATAAATTTGAACTTGATGTCAATGAAAAATTATACTATGCATTCATCAATACAAGTATGTGACAAAAATTTCTAAATAGAAAATAAAAATCAAGTTTAGGCCATTGTCCTGAGGGGAGGCAAAGGCATGAAAGCTTGAGGAGGGTCAGTTGGGGCTCAGGACAGTCGGCTTTGGTAGCAGAACAAGCATCCGAGGTTTATTTCACTATGGATCAGTTCACGCACCCTGGACTGACAGCAGCAGATGCGGTCTAGCTCAGGCCTGAGGGAAGCAACCCTCATGCTGTGCCAAGCACATATGCAGCTTGGGAGGCGGAGCCAGTGCACACGGAGGGCAAGACTACAAAGCTGTTTGGCTGATAGGGGGGTAAAAGTTCAGGCCGAGCCTGATGGTGACTGTGGAGCATGCCTGTAATCCCAGCACTCAGGAGGCAGAGGTAAGCGGGTCTCTGTGAGTTTGAGGCCAGCCTAGTCTAGAGTGAGTTCTGGGACAGCCAGGACTATCCGGCGCGTGGGGGGTGGGGAGAGGGTTCAGGCTGGTACAGAGGCAGGTAGAGCACCATGGGGAAGGAAATCAAAACAAAGGGAACTGAGGAAGGTGGTAAGTGGGCAGAGAGGATGCAGCTGAGGCAGGGATGACATACATCTGCCGGAGCAGAGGAAGCTGTATTCCCAAGCTCAACCCCTGACTCAAAACACACTGGTTCCAAAGCAGAAACCTAGCTCCACTCACCCCTTCTGAAGCTGTATCCTTCAAATGAGGGGAAACGGCGGGAATAACCACCATGGGTAACCCACTGATGTGGTCATAGAGTCAGTGAGGGCCTTGAGGGAAAGAGCTACAGAGTTAATGACATGATGTGGGAATTCTGGGTGGGGAGTCCCTCCCTGGCTATTCACTCATGGGGGGAGGCAGCTATAAAAGCCCTGAAAGGAACAAAATTAATATTATCAGCAATATCAAAGTAGCCTCATCTTCAAAACTTTTGAGACAAGGTCTAGTAATGTAGTCCACTGACTCAAACTTTTTTGCATAGATAGATAGACAGACGGACAGATGGATAGACAGACGGACAGATGGATAGACAGACAGACAGATAGATAGACAGATAGACAGACAAATAGATATTAGATAAAGTCTCACTTCGTAGCCTAGGCTGGCCTCAAATTCTCAACACAATCCCGTCCCGCCTCTCCAACGCTGTGATTACAGGTGTGAGCTGAACCATCACATCCAAACCCTTGGTCCTCTTACCTCACTCAGTCTGCCCAGGGCTAAAATCCCCAGGGATTACTAAAGGCCCAAACCACTGTTCTGGACTTTGAGCTCATTTGTAAGGATCTGCTCACATTTTAGGAACAATGGGAATGTGATGGACAAGCTGAGATCTCCCCAGGGAAAACCTAAACTAGCAGAGCATCTTGGGGCCCCTCTGGCCCGTGTGGAGTGATGAGAATTGGTGCTCTCCTGAGCATACCCTTAGACATATCCTCAGCCCGGAAAGGCAGATGCCCCTGTCCGGTGCCCACTGGAGCTCTGGCCACAGTCCAGGCACCTCGTACACGCCATTGTAAACCTTATCAACCTAACATTGACTTAAAGTGCCAAGACTGCGGAGCACAGGCTTCTAGAGTGAAAAAAGAAAACAAACAAGCAGAAACACCTCCCTTTCTAAAAGGCCCTCTGCTTGTGCGCAGTGAGTCAGGGAGAACCATACAACCCACCTCTAGGCCACTTTCTGCTCAGCTTATTCTTCTGAACACAGAAGGGAACAGGTGTCAAAGCTCTCAAAAGACACTTCGCAGGGAATGTCCTAAAATGTTTTGAAAATATTTACTTCACCTTCTGAACCGATTTCAAAGTATAAACTCCCTCCATGTTAGGCATGAAATTAAGTCATAATTTTGAAACAGCTTGAACTCGGACTTCCAGAGGACTTTTATGTTTAAAGGTATTTGGCTTCCTTCGCAGAAGATGAAAAGCAGGCCGGGGAACAGGTTTAGAAGATTTGACAAAAATCTTTCCACTTTCTGAGTTCACTGGTTGTCCTTTTAGGAGTTTTCCACAAGTGTGTTTGTGTATTTGCACGAGGGCATACAAAAAAAAATGATAGTAAAAATAAGACATAACCTAAGTGTCCATGAGTTAGTGAAATAAATACGAACTTCTCATACAATACATCGGTTAAAACACTAGCACTGAAAGGTAAAGAACAAGAAGCAAGTTACAGAACGACGTTAAAGATATTCATTTTATGATTTTTCTGATAAAGTACACATAAAACGATACTGAGTTAATAATTAAGCGAAACATCTCTACACATCTGTCTACGTTGTTTGGACTTCTAACACACCACTTTTGTAATTTCTTTTTCAAAGTAAACGTAAAGCATGCCTAAGGTCCAAATAAATATATCTGCTTGGGAAACAAACCGATTGTCCCCGTAGATGCATGCCAAAAATGCAGACTGACACTATTTGCGGAGCCCAAGTAAATTCTTAATCATCTGGAGTTACATGAGCTCTCGTGGATGAAGGAAACTTCCAAAGTTAGCCACAAACTTGCCTCAAGCACCTCGCGTCAAGCCTCCAACGCGAAGACCGAGAGGGGGGGATCCGCGACGAGCTCCGGAGGAGGACACGGTGCAGCTACCGCGCAGCGGGACAGCCACGAAGCAGCTTGTCAGCAGGAACAGCTGCGGTTCTTAAGGCACTGCCGCCCTGGGTCCCGCCCTGGCCCTCCCCGCCAAGCCCTCTGCACGCCCGGCCACATCCCCCTCACCGCCAAGCTTTCGGTTTCCTCTAGATCCAAAGGAAAGCGAAACTCAAGACAGCGAGCGAGCAGGGCGCAAGCGAGCGAGCCAGCGCGAGGAGCACGTGTACACACGCCCAGGGAACCCGTGGTCTTCTGCACCGCATCTAAGCATCCTCGTCGGACCTGACCCGGTGACTCCCGGGTACACGGTCTTTTTTATGTGCAATTGTAAGATTGGAAATGCTCACAGTTGCTGTGACTGCTGCTCTGGGAGCCGGCAGCAGAGGACTCCCTGGCTGAGGCTAGCCCCAAGGGGTAAAGAGCCAGTTAGCGCTAACATTTATTGTGTTTCTGTTATTTGCCAGACTCACCGTTAAACTATGAAAATAATTTTATCTACATACTGGCCTTTTGTGTCTCTACGTTTAATCCCAATTTTATAGGATAAAATGTTAAATTTAAACTAACGGGCCTCTGATCAATCCCACACCTTTGTGGAAAATAGCAGACCATTGTGATTAGCACACCAGATGACCATGAAGGTACAGACACAGCCTAAACCGAGTCCTGGTTTGAAGGATCCGGGATGTACACACATGAAATGCTTCCTAGGTCTTTAGGGATGTATTTCATGTATGCAGGCTGTGGGAGCAGAGGCAGAGGGTGATCTGCTAGCTGTTGGGCTGGGTGAGATGTGCACAAGATTAGAATGAGGTTTCCACACGTATTTGCTCTGAGAGTGGGTCTTTCCTTCCCCTCCCCCTCCCCCAGCACAGGGCAAAGCTAACGGGATTTTATGAGTTCTGGTGGAGTCTGTATTCTGTTTTGTGGTTGTAGTTACAATCTAAAGATACACAAATATATGCCTGTCTATAACGTGTGTGTGTGTGTGTGTGTGTGTGTGTGTGTGAGAGAGAGAGAGAGAGAGAGAGAGAGAGAGAGAGAGAGAGAGGAACTATACACAGATGTTGATAATAAACCAGGATTTCCATGTTTGGAAAGAGAAAGCGGTATGGTGCTCGGGACAGCACATTGTCTCTTGACAATGGTTGACAGTGGTTGAGGTAATCAACATGGCATTTGCGCACATCATGGACAAATATAGTGATTAATGCAATCTGCTAACCAATCAGGTATGTGGCTAACTTCTTCTAACTGTTCAATGCATCTGCTCACCAATCAGTTATGTGGCTAACTTCTTCTATCTGTTCAGTTGTGTCCAAAAACAGGAACATCAAAAACTGGAGAGAAATGAAAAGAGGATGTTGTAAAATTTGATCGTTTGATTAATATAGTATACCCAAAGAGTTCTAGGGAACAAATTGCATTCAACCCCAGTGGTGATTGGCAAACAGCTCCTTATAGCCAAGTGATTTATTTTTTAAATCCTGCATGTTCAATGAAGCAAGCGATTGGCATCTGTGCCAGTACGAGATGGACAAGGGTCAATCATGGACAGGAGACATGGCTGACCAAGAACTCACTAGGATTCCTATTGGGTCTCTTCCCTTGCCTATTCCTGTTCTCTCCTTACCTACCAGCACAGTTCAGGACTAGAACAAGGAAGTAGACTGAGCAAGGTAGACATCCCTGCAGTGAAACTCCACAAGGGCCCAGGGCAGGGTGTGGAGAGTGTCAACAAACACAGGAGGGTTGCCCACCACCGACATCAGAACCTATTCCAGTTGAGGAATCCACCCATGCATGAAACGGATCCAGTTTGCCTGGGCATCGGAGCCTAGAGAACTGGAGTGGGGTTCTGTGTGATAAGAAAGCCCAGACAGGGTGAGGAATGGTTCCATGGAAGAAGATGCTGGTAGAGGTGAAACGCTAGTTACACCCAGAAGCAGAATTACACGAGCAAATTCACAACAGTTTAGAACAGGCAACAAGTTTGAAAATGCCCAGGAGGAAAGCTGAAGATGAAGAACGGAAGCCAAGCCCTGCCACGGTGAGTCTGCCTGGAGCCAGGTTTTTGATGAGCAGTTAGAGAGGTGTGCCTGTATACGTGTGCATACTTCCCTAGCTTGGCCCACTGCGAAGGATGGATTGGTGACACCCCAAAGGCACATCGCACCGATCTGGCTTCTAGTTGTTCTTCTCAAACAAAACAAACCAGAGCTGCTTTTAAAAAATGGTTCTTCCGGCTGGACGGTGGTGGCGCACACCTTTAATCCCAGCAGGCAGGAGGCAGAGGCAGGCGGATCTCTGTGAGTTCAAATTCAACCGGGTCTAAAGAGCTAGTTTCAGAACAGGCTCCAAAGCAACAGAGAAACCCTGTTTGGGAAAGAAAAAAAAATGGTGCTTCCAGAATTGGGACAAAGAAAAGCACAAGAGAAACCTTTCTGCACAAAATAAATGTCCGAAGAATGGGAGGGGTGTGTCTAAAGGACACATACCCCCCCCTCATTGGTCAAGTCTGAAACAAATTAAACTTGGAAAAATGGATATGGTAATAATATTGCAATCACTAAAATTAACAGAAAACTTGTCTGTACAATACAAGAAAATAACAGGGTAAAGTGAAAGAGCACTGTGGCTTGGATATTTACATGATGTCGAAGTAGTTTCCCTACTTCACACGTGAAAGCACACGCCAATTACTGGTAGAGTTTATACATAATGTTACTTTGTAACTGCAAATGGTTCTGCAAATGCTAACTGCAAATGAGGTGAAGACCAACTAAGTGGTCAGAAAGAAGTGTCCTTCCCGCAGCAGGGGATGTCACTGGTGTCTATGCCACTGCAGTCACACCAAGTAACAGAATGTAACAGGCTGTAAAGAATAAAAGGAACACAGATCCCTTCTATGATTCTCTTGTCACAGGCCTGTGGCCCGACTACTCCCAACGGAACATCTGAGTAACCCAGAGTGACCAGTGTTCTGCAAATCAGCTATATGTCTTCACTAAAGAAAATCAAAGGTGTGAAGAACAAACCCAGACTGGCAGGGACCGTAGGAATGAGGATAAACCACAGGCCCTGAGCTGGGTCTTTCTGCTGTAAAGGATATTATTGCGACAACTGGTAAAATCTCTGAGTGGCAATAATTTCACACTAAGGAAGGGGTTAAGGGGGAAGAAACATCATGTGGGAAGCGTATTCTTGCTGGGCATGGTGGCACACATCTGTAACCCCAACACCTGGGAAGCAGAGGTCGGAGAATTGCCTCAAGTTAAACGTCAGCCTGGTCTACAGAGTTTGACTTTACCTCAAAGAGTAGAAAGGAAAAGAAAAATAAGAAAGAAAGGGGAGAAAGATAATTTACCTTTATGTGGTACAGAAAATAAGTTCTTTGTACGACAGCTTTCTATAGACTTTCTATTGCTGGTATATCTTTTTCTGAAGCCTGCTAATATAATTGTGCTTTGCAGATGCTTTTTCAATACCAGGCAGGAAAGAATTTAAGTTCCAACCACCTAATACTTGTTTCAAAAGTGAGTGTGAGTCCCCAAGAGCTTTTCCTGTGGCTTGTCCATTTCTGCCTACGTAGGGTAATTTCAGCATTACCAGAATTCTCACTGACAGAATGTCTTACTTTTTGCCTTTTTGGTAAAGCTGAATTATGAAACAAGAGGCCATGCCTAACCACCTCATTCAAAAATTTGGTCACAGAAGAAATTGTTAACTTGGGAGGATGAGGCAGTCCCCTCCCTTTTCCCTGATGGGGAAAGTTACTTCAGAAACAAGTCCTATCAGAGGCCAGAACAGCCATGCTTATAAGAAGAACAGACCATCTGCATGCAGTGAGGAAGCTTGTTTTAAGGGAAGCCATGGCTAATAAAATTTTAGTGATTCCTTACCAATCACATTTCTACACTATGTGTGCTGTCTGGTGTAGCTACATCTCCACAGATCTTTCTAGTTTCCTCGTTGCAACTCGATGTCTTCGTACTCTAAATTCTCTGCATTCTGCATATGGTCAAGAATAAATAGTAAGCTTTTTTTTAAGGCTGAGAACTGAATCTCCCTCAACAGAGTCCTGCCCTGAGAAGGAGGGCGGTGCTGGCTTGAAGCAGCCACACAGGAACTTAGGTTTC